CTTGTTGAACTTTGATACTAGTGCTGGAGCAAGATGGTATCTCATTGTTGTTTTGATTTGCATCTCTCTAATACCTAATGATCGTGAGCATTTCTACACAGAAGATTTTTAATGCCCTTAAAAGCCTTTCTTAGGCCTCTTCGCGGTAAGCCTCTCCTATTCCATAAACAACCTTATTTTGACTTCAATCACCAGCAATTGTTGTCTCATTTTGAACTTCACGAATACATGAAATCAGATAACATGCTATCTACGACGTCCGGTTTCTTTAACTCAGTATCTCTCCTGTGAGGTTCATCACCGTTGCATGTATCAGGTGTTCATTCTTCTTCACGTGTGGCTAACACTGTTTATCCATTCTGCTGCTAATGGGCATTTAGATTGTTTGCAGTGTTTGACTTATCATGACTAAAGCTTAATGATTTTTGCATATGTACTTTAATGGTTTCTTATGTTTTTACCTGCTTGAGATTTGTATAAGTTCTTGAATTTGCAAGTTAAGGTCTTTTATTTTAGAAAATTGTCAGCTGCACATTTTCTGGCCCACTTTCTCTTCTGCTCCTTCTGGGAAATAAAGTGTAGGTTCTTTTCTCCAAGCCTCATAGGTCTGTTACTTTCTTTTGTTTTCCCTATTGTCTTGCTATGATTAAATCTTGATAAAATTTTTCAACATATATTCCAGTTCACACAAATCTCTGTAGCTGTGTCCAATTTATAGTTAAATTGCAGTTTCTTAAAATCTGTGTCTGCTATTACCAGGATCCCTTGTGAGCATATTTCTATTGTCTGCCTTTCTCTTTTGATTTTCTGTCACATTGCCTTACCTCTTCATAACCCTGGTTACTATTTTTTTTAAATAATATTTTATTTCAGGTTAAAGTTTACACAGCAAATAGGCTCCCCTTTAACAATTTTTACACAAACTGTTTTGTGCCACTGGTTACAATTTTTGCAACGTGTTAAGTGTTTTCATTATTTCCATTCTGTTTCTATTGATCTAGTTTCTCTTCCCCTCCTTGCTTTCTCATTTTTGGTTTTAGGTAAATGTTGACTGTTTGGTTTCATATAGTTAATTGTTTAAGGGAGCACATTACTCATGGGTGATACTATTTATCTTATAAGCCAATTTATTAGTTGACTGAAAGGCGACCTGCAGAAATAGCTTTAATTCCAAATACAAACAGTATCTTATGGCAATATTCTCAAGGGTTCCTCTAGACTCTATGGGCCTAGTAGGTCTGGCCTTCTTTTGAAATCTGAGTTTTGATCTACATTTTTCTTCCATTCTACCTGGGGCCTTCTACTGTGTTCTTGGTCAGAACAGTTGGTAGTGGTACTGAGGCGCTATCTAGTTCTGATCTCAGGTTAGAAGAGGCCGTGATTTGTGTAGGCTATTAGTTGCATGGACTACTTTCTTTTTGAGCTTTTGATTTCCTTCATTTGCTTATGCTCCATCCCTGGTTACTTTTTACTGTTATTTTTATATGAATACCTGCAAAGAC